GCATACAGAACTAGGGTACAGGCCAGAGGTGCAGGGGCAGTGAGAAGATTCACCAGAGACAGAGTGGGGAGCAGAACAGGCCAACTGACAAGTACACTGCTGAGGGGAGCAGCGGGTGAGTCAGGAGAGGTCTGCCACGCCATGTGGGTAACCTCACATTGAAGTGGCTGCGGCCAGCTTGCAGTGCTGTGCAACCTGTTATGCCCCCAGGGAGGGCCAGAAATTCATTGTTTTTAAAGCACTCAAATTACAATGCTGCCATAACCTTACATGCACACATTGCATTTCTCCATATGCATATTTGTTTCAAATTATTTTAGAACTGTCCAATTTTAAAAGTTCAGTCAACCAAAAGTCAATATTAGAAGCAGTTAAGAATAGCATTTTAAAGAACACAGGCTCTGATTCTAGGCACATATCACTTATTAGCAGTATAACCCAGTTATTAAACTCCTTTAAGCCTCAGTTTCCTGGGAGTTAAAACTGCACATTTACAAAGAGATGTCCTAGAGATTAAGTAAAAAAAATGTATATTTAAAGTACTTAGCAGTGTCTAGCATACAGCATAGGCTCAAAAGCTCTCACTATTCAGAGGTATTTAAAAATAAATCACCACATGGAAAAATAAGCTAAGTGGAAAAGTTTCTGCTGTTTAGGTAACTAAGTGTATTAACAAACAAAAGATAAATACGAGGACTTCAAATAGAGTTGGTGAATAAAGCACAGAATTGATAAGATTAAGCATGGGACATTATTTTAGACATTTTTACAGGAAGCAGTGTAGTGTAGTGGTTCAGGGCATGGACGCTAGAGCCAAATACCCGAGTCTAAATCCTCTTCCACTATTAGTTTTGTAACCTTGGGCAATAAGCTCTCAGTTCTTTGGTTTCGTAAAATGTCTCCTCTGTATCGAGTGAAATGGGATATTACTAATATCTACCTTATAAAGTTGTAAGGATTAAATAAACTTTGTGTGCAATGCATTTAGTAAACCCTGGCACACAGACAATGGATATAGTAATAGGAACCTTTCCATTATTTGGTAATAAAAAGATGTGTTATGAAGTCACAAAAACTCATGAAGGAACTTAACTAGATGTTTCTGAATCCAGTTGTTAACTGGATGTCACTTTGAAAAGACTATATAGTTTGATCCTCTGCCAGGGAGCTGACTCACAGGGCACAGCAGACCTTCTCACCTCAGTGTATTTCAGTTCATCTGCCTGTTCTGCTCCCCACTCTGTCTCTGGTGAATCCTTTTACCCCCTGTCCGCTGGCCTACACCCCAATTGTTGTATGTATAAATACATAAAATCTTTTTTAAAAATTTCATGTGTTAGTGGTTCGTCAAATATAATCAATATAACCACACTAATGAAAGATATTAATGAGAGAATCTGCAGTGAGGAGAGGGCATTTATGGTTACTCTCAATAACTTGGAAGAATAAAGTTGTTTCTGAAGGATTGTGGTGCTGCATCTCTATGTAGTCAGTGTTAAGTGAAAGGCTTTCACTATTGGTGGAAAGATTTTGCTTATACTCAACTGGTAGTGCCAAAAACAAATAAAGCAAGAATATCAGCATCTCCTCCATCCCACGAAAATGTGCTTGAAAAAATGTTGACAAGTCATAAAACTTTCTAAGACAATACCTAGATTTAATTTTCCCATCAAAACCAATGTATTATTAGCTACTTCATACTTATTCAAAAAGCTGTGTATGGCCTTCTCTGGTGGTACAGCAGGTTAATACACAGCACTAAGAAGCTAAAGCCACTTCTGCATGAGTTCAATCCCCAACCCAGAGGTGATCCACCTATTGTGGCAGACCTCTCCTGACCTGCCCGCTGCTGCCCTCAGCAGTGTACTCTGTCACTGCTGAATCCTCTGTCCCCACTCTGTCTCTCACCCACCCCTGCACCTCAGCCCTGTACCCCAGTTCTGTATTCATAAAGAAATAGTTTTTTAAAAAACTATATAATTATATGTATGGCTTAAAGAACAAAATTAACGCCTATGAGCCAAATCCAACTAATGAGAGGAACTGTGTTCAAAGGAACATAGTTTGATAGTTTCTACATAAGTCTTAATCAGTCACATAGTCCTTACTTCCCCCAAAAGTCACTGCAGTCCTAAATTTTGTATTTAGGACTCCTTGCTTTTCTGTATAGTTTCCCATTTATAAGTTGTACAAACAAATGATAGTTAACTTTGAATTTTAAAAAATATACTCATCTGACTTGGTCTCACTCAGTGTTATGGTTTAAAAATATTTTAAAACATCTAATACTGAGTAGATACAAAAGAATGTTGATCATCTATGTATCTACCACACATTTTGAGAAAGCATATTCTTATTGCTGAGACGATATACGGTACTCTAATCCCATCCCTTTCCCTTCTGTCTCAGAGGAAACCAAGATCCTCAATTTTATATAAGCATTTATCCTTTTATCATACATGCTTGAATCATTAAACAAAATGTTGCTTACCTTTACAAGTTCCTGCAATAAAATGAATGAAATCATATTTGCATTCTCGTTTGTTTTTAAAGGAATGTCTGTAAGATTTTACCATTGACATTGCTGGAGGTGTTATATATATTCCTTATACCAGATCAAGAACATTTCCTTCCAATCCTACTTTGCTAAAAGCTCTTCCTTATACAGACTAATCTTGCTGAGTCAGTTTTCCCTCCCTCCTTCTTACCCTCCTTTCCATCCGTCCTCCCCTCCACACCCCCCACCAACCCAAGAATTTAGTTAGCTAGGTATTATCCCAAGGGCCACCAATACAGCAATAAACAGCCTAACATTCTAGCATTCAGGAAACTTAACTTCTAGTGTACAGATAATAAAAGAAGTACATCACATATTAGACAAATTCATAGTACAGAAGGCAGGTTATAGGTTACCAGGGGTTGGGAGTGAAGATCAGTGGGGATTGCTTAATGGGGACAGAGTTTCTGTTTGGAGTGATGAAAACGTTTTAGAAATAATAGTGCTGGTGATTGCACAACTTTGAGTGCATGTAATGTCACTGAACTGAACACTTAAAAACTGTTTATTTTACCACCATTTTAAAAAAGTTAAACACAAAAGGTGTATGTTAGGAGCAACAGGAAAGCAAAGCAAGGGGAGTAGCATGTTTAATAAGCTCAATGACAAAAGACCTCACTGAGGTGACACTGGAATTCATATGGCTGCTGCAATTTACTGAATTTGCTTCTGTTTGCATGAGATCATATATGATCTTACTCCATTTGCTAATATGGTAAAATATAATTAATTTTTTATAATGTAGAACCAACTTCTCACTCCTCGTATACATTCAACTTGGTCAATGTTTATATTTATGTATCCATAACATATGCACACATCTATCTCTACAACAAATATGGCTGTAATTATTTATCCTCGAGTATTTGATAAAGTTTACCTATAATAAATGGATCAGTGTTTTCTTTGGGGAAAATTTTTATACACTGCTAATTCAACTTTTTTTAGTGTCAACAAAATCATTCAGATTTTTCAGTGTTTTTCTCTTCATTCAGTTTTGTTCATCTATGTTGTAATGGAATTTACAATTTCATCTAAATTTTTACATTTGTAAGCTCTTTTTACATCTTCCTACTCTCTGTTGTATCTGTATTCAAGTGTCCCCTTTTTGACCCTAATATGGTTTCTTTGAGCATTTTTTAAAAGATCAGTCTTTTCAGACGTTTGTCAGTTTTAATCAATCTTTTAAGAGAACAGCTTTTTTGTTCTGTTGATCT